TTTCACGATATCGGTTAGCTTGATTCAGCAGCAACTTCATCGACGCGAACTGGATGGCGACGTTTTATAGTTACAACCCTTTCATCCGACAACGATGGCAAAGTACACCCTCCTCGCGGAGAGAGAGCCAATAAGCGTCAACAACGTGCCGTTTCGTGAACAACTTACTTCGTCGGAAAGAGATAGACAACAGTTGGATAAAGAAAACGAGTGAAGGAATAAAAACGATCCAAGTACACATACAATAAAAAGGAAGAAGAAGAAGAAGAAGAAGAAGAAGAAGAAGAAGTAAAAGAAAGAAAGCAAATGTTTTATGAAAGAACAAGTAAAAATATTTCTTCCTCTAGTTACTACTTCTACTACTACTACTATTACTATTACTACTACTACCTCTTTACATTTGTTTGTCAGTTTGTCTGTTTTACTTGTTATTGTTGTTTTTTTTATTATTATCTATCTTCGAAGTGCGAAGGAAAGAAAAAAACGGGGATATAACAGGGTATAATTTAACCGTGTTTAAATTCGAATCGCACTGACGAGGATCGATGACGCTTGCTTGCTTGCTCCCGTCTGCGATCTAACCCAGTTTCTCTTAGTACATACGCGAGTCATGACTCGAGTCGTAAGTTTCCCTCGGACGTGGCCAGCGACGAGTCGATAAAAAAGCAATTTCATGCGAGCATTGGACTGGCCAATACGAAAAATCTTTCATACATTTATAGAGAATCGTGTATACACATAATAATCTACAAATATTATCTATACATAATACATATCCACATTGTCGACAGATATGTACAAATATTTTTTATTTATTATATATATATATATATATATATATATGTTACCGTTATAGCCGAAAATCCGCCATTGCTAGTAATTCCTCGGCATTCTCATCAATGCAAAGAACCTTCCGAAGAAGTCGGAAACAGAAGAATTCTTACAGTTTTTTCTAATACTATGGTATCCTATATAATATAATATTACAATTAAACACTTTCGCTACGAGCGTCCCATATAGACGAGGTCAGCTTGATACCACTTGACCATAAAACCCGCGATGTTTTTTTTTTCTTTTTCGCATACTGTACATCGATCACAATTGTTTTATTTTATGGTTTGTAGAAAGATCCACGAGGCTGCACCCGAAAAATGTAAGTCCGAACAACGGTTTACCAAAGCGCGCAACATGCACATTTTCGGTGCAGTGCTCCGTTCAGTGCCGCTACTTCTGCAGCACGGTGACCCGTTCCATGGTGTCATTCCGACGGAGCACACTGCCGTAGCGAAAAGGGTTAAACAACTGATCGGGTCAGATATTTCATGAAATAACTGGTTTTGGATTTCGCAACATCCGGTGCGCAAATTCCTATTGATTTTTAATTATCAATAACTCGTGAAATAATTAATATTTAGGGCAAACAATTATGGATTAACAATGTGCATTTAGTGAGCAATTAGTTGCACATATTAGTTTCTTACTGCCGTAGGTTTTCTATGCTGTCATAATTCGCGTTGTGGATTAAAATTAGCATCTTTTTAATTATCAATAACTATAATAATCTAACTATTAAAAATATTGTCTAGAACGTTACAAAGATATGACAGCTATGTGTAAAAAATATTTACTTTACAGCATTGCATTTTCTGGGATTTTAGGTATTTAAATCGCAAGACTTTCAGCTTAAAATAGTATTCTACGTGTAGGCCAAAGAATGTACTTAAATTTATTTTATAATTTTAAATTAATATTATATGTCGAGACACACAAAATTAATTCATTATTTTTACTCTCTCTCCCTCTCTCGACTATATAAATATTAATAGTTTCTGTTAAAAAATGAATTATTGTTTTTCTTTTATTCAAGGTTCACTATTTTTGACAATAAATAAAAAAACGGCGTGCCATAAGCATCAAGATTCGATTTAAAAACGCCGCGCTTATACGCCGATATATATATATATATATACAGAACACTCGACACTCGATCGTCAAAACGAAAAATTCTCGCTACCGAAGGAAAAAATAGAATGAGAGAAATATCGGTTTCTTGTCTCACTCGCACTCGTATACAGAACACTCAACAATCGATGGCCAAGACGAAAAATACTCCCTACAGAATGAAAAAAATAGAAAGAGAGAAATATCCATTTCTTTTCTTACTCGCATTCGCATTCACGACCGAAAGACCCCAAGATAACGCACACTAGCTCGCTCGCTCGCGTGTAAAGACCGACGAAGAGGCGGGGCTTGTCCCCCACTCTTAAAATCAATTTTACCAATATTTCTCGCTTATTTTTGCAAATACGAAGATACACCTTAGAACATTTTTTTATGTATTTTTCAATTGTGTGCAACTATTGTCTGAAATTTTTTTCGATTAAATGCCTAGATTCTAAGATATGGCTTTTTACCCTTTTTTACCCTTTTTCTCATAAATGCGCCATCCAATTGCAAAAAGATATGCACCATTCGATTCAGCATCGTCGAATTACCATTATATCAAAAATGTGGCCTATTAGGAAAAACTGTAAGAATTCTTCTGTTTCCGACTTCATCGGAATACTCTTTGCATTGATGAGAATGCTGAGGAATTACTAGCAATGACGGATTTCCGGCTATGACGGTACATATATATATATATATATATATATATATACATATGTGTATTATTGCATTAGGTGGTTGCATGAAAATAATGAGATATTTTTAATATACATTGTTCTTACAATAATAAAAAAGCATACAATTATACGTTAGATTGCATGAAAAAGATTTTTATACAAATTTGTATTAATATATTTCAAATATTAATATATTGACGCGAACTTTTTAAATAAATTAATGTATATAATATATACATATACATATATATTATATTGTATATTTATTATATGCACCTATGTATAAGTATTGTATGCAATGTATTTGTATGTATTAACTTTAGTTTCAATGGAACGTAAACACACAGATAGAAATGTTTGAAAAGTATCGATAAATACGATTAAAAATGATATATAAATATTTAATGGAATTAGTTTCTTTTGATAACTTACTCAACATTTAGGAGATGACCCGACAGATTTTTTCGTCCAATGAACGACGTTTAAGGGTTGATGATCTAATAGCAGTAGTAGTAGTAGGAGTAATAGTTTGCTGTCGAGGCTAAGATCGAGGCGATCGAGATGATTGAAAATCGTGTCCTTAAGGATAACGAAGACATAACAACCCTCGAAGAACAATTAATTCGTCCAAAGGGTAGAAGGGTGAGCATCATCATATTCATCGTCATCGTCATCATCATCATCATCATCATCATAATCTTTCTATTCATCATCTTTCGTTATATTAGGTAACGACAAGATAAATTATTAAGAGTTCTCAAAAGAAAAAAAAAAAAAAAGAAAAGAAAAAGATCACGAAGGATCTATTCTACGAGATCGTTGACATACTACTAACTGTCGATTAACACAACATGACGATAATGATGATAATGATAGAATATTATTTGGCAGAAAAAAAAGTTCGATATACGAGAGAGAAAATATTATGGAAAACATTTGAATTTTCGATCTTTTTCTCCTTGTATTTTTTACGCACAGTCTAGAGTTTCAGCTTGTTGAAAATAATTGTTAAAAAGAAAAGAAAGGGAACGACATAAAAGTTCACGCGGTTCGACAGGACATTCACGAAACGTGTCAAGGGCTATACGAGAAGGGAGTGCCGCGACCTTCATCGCACGAAGGCCCATGGAAAACTGACCGATCCTCCTCGCTAACTCCTCCTCCTCCCTCCTCCTCCTCCCCCCTCCTCCTCCTCCTCCACCTCTTCTTCCTCTTTCTCCATCTCTACCTCTACCTCCTCTACACCTTTTCCTACACCATCATTCTCATCGCCACAGTGTAGTAATAGTAATAGTAGTAGTAGTAGTAATAGTAATAGTGTAGTAGTCATCGTAGGACGGGAGGCACCTTTTCGAAACTCCTCTTCTCCTCCTATTCCTATCCTCTTTCTCTTCCTCTCTCTACCCCTCATCAACCTCCACCACTACCTCCTCTGCTTTTTTCCAAGTCCGTTGACGAAGCTTCCGGACCAGGGTAACGGGCATGCGTGATCCGACGCACGAGTAACATGTTAAACTAGGGTGGGAGTTCTAATGGGAGTGTACTAACCAATCGAAGAAAGAAAGAGAGAGAAGAGAGAAGAGAGAGGGAGAGAGAGAGAGATAAACGATTATGCGAGCTTTATAGCACAAAACGGGGTATGTTTCATAGTATTTTTGGAATACCCCCCAGGCGGCTTCTCTTCTTCTTCTTCTTCTTCATATTTTTTGCCTCCAAGAGAGAAAGAGAAAGAATCTTCTGTTGAGAATTGGCTTTTTTTTCAACGATGTTACATTAAGATTTAATAACGCACCTCATTTATTCGTGATTTTCTATGGTAACAATCTTTTCAGTCTAACAGTCCACCGCCATGAATATTTCAAGGTAGGACCTAGACGGTTTTATTCTTATATTTCTTTTAATCCAGTAAATGTATAAAAAGAAATATCGACAAAGAGAGAATGCAGATAAAATTCGTAAATGTCGTTCGTTGATAGTTATAGTAATGAAAAACAAATTTTTTGAATATCTAATTAATGATATGATTCTATGCATTCTCTACGAGCATAACTTCCAATCTGTGATAAGTTATTTTTTCAAAAATATTTAGATGATATCACTTAAATGACCTTTTTTTTTTAAGAAATTTTTTATTTAAATAAAGAAAGAAATAGAGAGAGAGAGAGAGAGAGAGAGAGAGAGAGAGAGAGAGAGAGAGAGAGAGAGATGATATCAACATTGTTCATGTATAAGCGCATTAAAAATTAATGGCTCATAAATGTACAAAAGTGCTATCCTAAATCACTATTAAATACAAATGTGTCTGTAAACGATTAGGTAGTTATACAAGTACGAACTACAATATGTGAGTGAAAATTAAATGCTTTTTCACTCACCACCCTGCAATACCATTTGGTTGAATTTCTTGTAAAAATATACCAAGCTCGCCCTTGTCTTTACTGCGGAGACCAACCACGCTGAATCCTAAACTAGTGCCTTCCGGTTTGTATAACTGAAAATATAGAAATACAAAATGTTATTACGCTGAATAATATCAGCATTCAATATAATGTATATTTTTAAATAAAATATATTTTTTTGTTTGTTGAGAATATCTTACCTGCACTGTGCATATCTGACGTCCTCTCGCAGCAGCCTCTATCACTTTTTTGAACTCTTTGGCATAGGTTGGGGTCGTTATAGGTGGCATTCCCATAACTTCTGAAACCAGACTAGGACTTGTAACCTGTAACAAAGTACATGCCATGCAGGAATAGCACGAGTACATTAAGCTGAAAGGGGGTGAGTGTTAACCTACCTGTGCGCTAGTGTCTTCGCTGCTGCTATGTAACAATGGAGCAATAGGGACTCTTTGATCGTCCAGTTCACTACTATCCGGATATAAATCTTGATACGTAATTGGTCCTAAGGGTTGCACAGGAGTATTTGGAACCGAAAGTTCTAAATGCCCACTGATATTAATATCAAAATCTCCAGGAAGAATGGAAGGATGATCCCCTAGCTGACTATTTAATTCGAACAAAGAATCTTGTATTGTAACTATACTTCGGAATACAGGATCCTCCAATAGGGATATCATCGACTGGAGATCTTGAGTGGTATACATTCTCAATTTAGGATCATCGCAATCCTCTACACGCTCTTGAATATGCTCAAGTAAGTGAAGGGCTGTGGATATATCTAAAATTATGAATATGATTGTGTACATTGTAGGTGATACAATATTGCATTCATTCCAAAAGGGTTTTATTAAAATATAGAATATAAAAATGCAATTCTTACCTGTGCTTAACGACATCTTAGCTCTCTTGTTTTATAAACTGTTCAAGCTTGTACAAAATCCTTATTGATCCAACTCTATAAAAATATGATATAAAAAACTGTCATTAAAAAATAAACGCGAATGAGGAAAAAAGTAACACATTCCTAAGAATATTCTACATTTTTAACCTCAAAATAACGAAACACACTAAAAGACACGATTACACAACTCGAATACATTGACAACATAATTATTTTAATGAAATGAATTTAATCATGATAACGTATAATCTCATGCTGATACCCATAAAAGTAGGGACTAAACTAGTTGAATGGCAAATCGATAATCGTTTATGCGAAACTAATGTAAAACTATTTACATAAAAAATCGATAAGTATCTCTTACCTAATAACTATATTAAAAAAACACTTTACTACACAGTATACACCGACACAATAAAAGAAACATTCAGAATAAACAATAAGATTTTCCGAGTATGATAATATATATATATATATAGTACACAAACAAAATATACCGTCAAAGCTCACTACGAAACTGTAATTGCATCTTGATGCATATCAGCTGACAGAATCCAAGGCGTCCCGAGGTTCAACGCTTAACAACTCGTATCATGGAGTGGGGATAGTGCACATGCGCTAATGGCGCGCAAATTCAATTGCTTATATAATCATTCAGATGAAATAAGATTCTTAATAAGAAAATAATGAATCAAATCTAATTGGATAATAATAAATGAATAATACCTTCACTATTTTCCTTGTCTACTTTAAAAAAATAATGAAAAACGGTGCTTGGACGAATATCAGGAACGAGACGACATTCTGTGCCACATAAGTTTTGTGTGAGGAAAAGGGAAGCTACTCAACGATATTTACTATTAAATTATGCATTATCAATTAATAAAATATATAATGACAACTTACTTTATTTTCTTTCTGTTGTTCAATTATTATCGGGATACACCTTTCAATACCGTCTTACTAACACCCACTAATATTCCTTCAAGATGGCTGCATATAAACGAAATGCGCACGCATATCAAATGCGCAGAAGCCTCGTAACAAATCGACCATTTCTTATTTTTTAACTTTTTTCCCCGTTCATTTTTCTATTTTTCTTTTTTAAAGAATTCAAATGTCCATTTCATATACATATGTAAACCCGAGATATATGGAAATATTTCTTTGGAATCGAGCAGATTCTTTTAAAGAATGTTCTTCGAAATGTTCGAATTAATGTTATTAATTGTAATCGAATGATTTTGAAAATATATATTACTTAAAAATAAAAAAAAAAAAAAAATGAATATGAATATAACTATAAATCAACGAAATAGAACGTATTCTGCTTTTGTCAAAATCAATACGATTGTCCGAGCCGAGCTCTGGCAGAAACCTGAATAATCCATAATTTCCGTAGCTTTCAATATTCTTGAAATACTTTACAATAACATAACTAACCGTAGATAGAAAAAAATTCGTATAATCTAAAATAAATAAGGAAAAATTCGTTTCTCATTTGAAATGGTAGAAAAATCTCATTATAATACATAAATATATTAGGTTGTCCCATAAGTTCTTTCTGTGCCAAGCTATGGGTATGATTTCGAGCCAGCTATATATAACAAATATAATATAAGACTTCGACAAAACCAGGATTTAAAGTCAAATTGACAAAATAGAATAGATTAACATTGAAATAAATGTAAATTGTCGAACAGAATGTAAAGGTCTACGTCATGGAATAATAAATTCAGCATTACAAATGATTTCCCTCGTGCGAATAATAATTAATTGATAAAAAAGAGAGAGAGAGAGAGAGAAACGCGAACAATTAGAATAGAGATGTTAATCAATTATACAAAATATCATAGATCAAACGTTCTAGCCGCAACATAATTGCCCGAAGACCACAAGCGCAGACCCCATTCTCCTAACAATTCCGAAAAGATCAAAGGGGTTGAAAGCGATGGAGCGAAGCAACACGTAGATGATGATGGTAGACCAGGATGGTAGAGGAGGAGGTAATGGTGGTGGTGGTGGTGGTGGTCCTCGGTCGTCGAGGTAGGTTGACCTCGGCTGAAAATCTCTAATCCATGATTCCGCCTAACGAGTCATAGAGAGTCGAGTCAGTGTTCATCGGCATCATCGAGAACAGGACACAGCATACTGTAGTAGTACGTCATGTCCTTTACAAGAGTCAGTATATTTTCCCGGATGGCCCCACGGAAACCGGACACAATGGAGATACTTCCGTTGAGCACAAGGCCAGAACTCGGACGTGGGGGGCCCCACACCGCGCCTGTTTTCAAACGTTATCTATCTCGAAAATAACCATACCTGTTCGTTCGTTGATTCGTTCGTTGATTCGTTCGTTCGTTACTTTTCTGCGGTGTCTCTCGACATCATTGCTCTGCCCCCTACGGTTCGTCTCCGTGACCATTCATCGGGACGATGTGTATTTCCTCTCCCCCCATTCCCTCCTACCGTACCAACGGACTTCCATTATTTCCACCGTTCGCTCTGTTTTTGACCGTCAGTTTGATTACAGGTGCTAATCGAGTTGGACGTTAAAGAGCAGACCTATCATTTCGTTTTCACACCTTCCACGCATACGTTCGAAAGCAACAAGGAAGAGAACATCTCTCGGTTTTTGGAGTGGCTCCAAAGGGCACTCCATTTTTTATTAATTTTCTTTTATAAAAGAAATAATATTACTTCGTAGAGATTAATTGGAAAGGTAAGAGGAATTATTGTGTTAACTTTTTTTTTTTTTCCTAAAATTATTTATTCTTCTATTTTTCATTTTTTATATACTTCATATAATATCTACCCTAGTCTTTTAATTAGGGACTTCGTTCAAAGTAAAGATTTACGAAAGCTTATTTTGAATATTTTCAAATATCGACATATCAATTGATCCTTTTAAACTTTTTAGTGCTTCACTTACGTAATGATAATGAAATTAATTCCATATGCGAATTAATATCGCAGGACGGACCATTATAATTCATTGTTGCATGCGAATATCCCATTAACATCAGCGACAGATATATACACACCAACACAATAATAATAATAATCGAATTCGTTTCTGATTCGACACGGGTATACGCGTAACAATACTACTCACGTAGTATGATAGAGTTCAAAGCACTGTAACAATAGAACTCCTTTTACGAGGTAAGCTTCGTTGTACCACTTCAACAACAAAAGCTCTCGCAAAAATTGCAATTTCACCTGCATTCTCTTTTTTCACTCGAAATTTTCTTTCTTTTTTCAAATGTATTATATATATATATATCGTAACCATGTGGTAAAGAAGTATGTTCACGCACTCGAAGCTTTTATACTCGATTTTGACTCTTTCAAAAAGTCGTATATTCAAAAGAAATAAAAATTCATGCAATTGCTGCCATTGAAAATTTACGCGCAAACGAAACGTGCAACTTAGTTTTATTTTTATTTTTTTTTTCTTCAAAAAATATTCGTAATTACCGTAACAACTCTTTCTTTCATGCCTACGTCAAATAAGAACAATGAATATTCGATGCAAAGGTTTATTTTAATTTAATCCTTTAAAATGAAAGAAAGAGAGAGAGAGGGAGGTAGTCTCGTACTTTTACGTGGGACACCTATGTGATCACAAAGGCGATAAACCATAACGTTGTTAACGAGCACCGTCATCATCCAACGCCTCCGTCGTTGGTGGATTAAATTGGTGGATGGATGGATGGGATGATATTCTCACGTAGCATGATATAATTATCTTTTCTCAATTTACTAATACACATTACTTATATATATATATTTCAAAGTATAACTTCCATTATGTTTCTAATTACTAAATAGTAATATCGAATTTATCGATAAACTCTATCGTAAATCAATATTTTTTTTCCTCTTAACAATTTTATTTTCAACAAAAGTATAAAATACCTTAGAATAAATTGTATAAGAGTAGTATCAATTGTTTCGTTACTCGGAAAATTTCATATAGGAACATCCTAACGTAAGAGTATTTTATAAAAATTCCTAAAAAGCACTCAACCTGAACATTTCATAGACACTCGTACATCTCTCCAATTGGATGATATACTTTTCCTAGTGTATATCAATACATGGTACACATATTCCTACGCAATACTGATTTAAAAAGGGACCAGAATACGCCCGTAAAGGCATCGAAGCGTGCTTCCAACTTTCAGCCATTACATTACATTATTAGCTGCCCATTATCTTCCTTAATTTTCTTTACTAATGTCACAAAAACAAATTTACTTATAAACTTTGAAATTATATTTAAATAAATATATATATATTTTTTAGATAATGAAATATTCTCCTAACGTTTTCTCCATTCGAACAAATACAAAAAAGTAATGTTTTTTAAGATAATTTCTATATTTTAAAAAGAGAATTTTGTTGAATTTTTCAAGGTGGATGAAAACGTTGCAACTAAATAGAAATGAAATGTGTTCCTCTTTTAAATAATATCATTATTTTTACGTATTTTTCTAGGACTTATTCGCTGATGGAATGACAACTTGATATCAAAATTTATTCGCTAATAAAAATAGGAAAAAACAATTCAAGATGATTACGAGCAACATGTTAAGAATCATCTTAATCATCCCATGGATTATATCGAATGTAATAAACGGTGAGTTTTGCAAATATAAAGAACACATATTTTTAGATCAATAAGAAAAAAAAAAAAGATAGAATCGGGAAGAATTTACGATGAGGGAAAAAAACAAATAACCAAAGAATCCCCATATGAATTCTCGGATATAACACGCGTCGTCGAATATAACGTCGGTATTTCTTTTTGAATTTGGAATTGGCGATTCGATTGCATAGTTATGTGTATGCGTGAACGAATAGCGAACGTTCCGAATCCGATGGCAGGACGCACAGCTCGTGGATATGGATCAAATGATGTCACGTATGCTTGCGAAATTGTTTCGTCCATTGTGCTACCGTCCGTAACACTTATGGCTCGAAAATATGGTCAAAGATAAAATCGGAATTCACATTTGTGATCTACAATTTACTTGGGAGGAAATATAACCTGAATAAATTCCGCTGTTTTTTTTTTTTTAGTTTTTCTTTATTTTTTTAAGAACAAAAAGAAAGATAACAAAGAAATGAGAATGATAATTAATCATTACTGACTCCATCCAAATTATTTTTCAGCACAAACTACGTGCAACGGAGGCGTCGGCAGAGTTGTTTACGAAAGATTGCCCGATCAACAACTTCAGGGATTCGACGATGACGTGGTACGATTATATTTTAAATGAAAAATGATATTTATTATTAAAATTAATAATAATAGTTATTGGGTTGTACGCGGAAAAGTTCGTCCCGATTTATAAAACAAAAATAAAATATATTTTAATATTAAAAATAATTATATATGAATCGTCAGAGGAACTTTTCATGCAACTCAGTAAAATACGTGTACGTGTAAATGCGTTATGTATTTATCAACTCGTTTCTATTTTCAACAGGTCAGGGACTCAGCACCACCCTTCAGAGTGTTAGAAAAATGTCAAGAGCTCTGTTTACGAGATAGAACAGCTACCAATAACTTGGTAAGAGCATGTACTAGCTTCGACTTTCAACCTGGTAGCAGAATTGCCTCCTACAGTGGAGCTGCTGAGTATGAAGAGAGTACCTGTTACCTGACAAGAGAGCAAGCACAGCCCGAAGGCATTGGAAATCTCATGTTAGTTCCAAACAGTGTTCATTTTACGGAAGTTTGCCTAACATGTAAGTACATATTTACATAAAAATATCATTTCGTTCCTCTTTCTATTTCTCTTTCTCTCTTTCTCTCTTTCTCTCTCTCTCTCTCTCTCTCTCTCTCTCTTTTCCTGTTTTAATTAAAGTTATAAAATAAATACTAAAAAGCTCGTTTAAAATTTAGCAAACAGAATAGAAAGAGAATGTCCGAATCGTCGGTACGTTTTCGAAAGACATCCAAGAAAAAAACTGAAACTTCCTTTGACCGATTTAAAGGAAGTTAGTGCTGCTAATAGAACTGAATGCGAGGACAGGTATCGTTAATAATCATTTTCATTTCTTATTTTTTGAACGTTTAATTTCTCTTTTTTTCTTTTCTTTTTTTTATTAATTAATATTTATCTCGTCAGATGTTTGAACGAGTTCAGTTTCGTGTGTCGGTCAGCGACATACGATACCGCGTTAAGAAGTTGTTCGTTGAGTCGTTTCACTAGGAGGACTCATCCCGAATTATTAGAAGACGATCCTAATTCTGATTACTTGGAGAACACTTGTCTGAACGGTACGAATATTTAAATGAAAAAAAAAAAAAACAAAAAAAAATAATAAAAATAATTTAAAAGACAATTGTGTGTTTCTAATTTTTCGTTTGTTTGTTTTTCCCTTTAATTAATTTTAGCCGAACGTCGTTGCGACGGTTTAGCAGTGTTCGTAAAAGAAGAGAACAAACGACTTCGAGGTCCCTTTGAAGTCGACATTTACACGAATCTCACTTTAGACGAGTGTCAGGCACTTTGTCTTCGTGCTGAAAAGTATTTTTGCCGTAGCGTAGAATTTGACGAACAAACACGTCAATGTGTTATCTCCGAGGAAGATTCTGTTTCACAAAAAGATGACATTGGAATAAGTAGTAGTCCTAGTCATCATTTTTATGACTTGGTTTGCTTGGACAATCGTAAGTATTTAAGATTTTTCTTAGATTTATATTCATAATTTCATTCAAAATATATAATACGTTAATATATTACAATATATAATATATAATTTAATATATGTATATATATTGTATATATATGAAGTAAAAAAGTAATAAGGGTTCAGATTTCATTGGATGAAAGTATCATAAGAGATTCTTATCACTTATCATACCAATGCCTACTCTACTGAAACGTAGATCCGTCCATAGCACGTGGCTCCGAATATCCGGATAGCAGTTCAACGTCACACCTTTTCTCTGATGGAAGAAGACCAGACACAGCATTCCAACGTTATAGAAATTCCCGTTTAAGCGGTGAATTTCATTCGGAAATAACTGGCCGTAGTCTAAGCGAGTGTCTCGATGAATGTCTAAGACAAACAAGTTTTCAATGTAGAAGTGCCGTATACTCCGAACATTATCATACTTGTAGATTGAGTAGATTCAATCAACGCGATGGACATAGAATCATTTACGATGCCGATTATGATTATTATGAGAATCTTATGCGTAAGTTAAATCATTCGTTAGATTGATCTATCCTCTATCTATATATTCTTTTTTTTCCTGCTATATTTGAACAGATCAATACTTGGATGGAGATCGAGATAATCCTGGATACAGGCCAGATCCTTTAGGACAAGATACAAATTTTGGTCGACCTTCATTGGGTAGACCAGGTAAGAATTATTCTTAGAAAATAATTTTCTCTTTCAAATAAAATATATAATTAATATTTCTTTCGTTCGACACGGCGCGATATATTAACAGTCACTTTTTATTCACAGGATATCCGGACGATTACGACAAAGGTTATGCAGGTACTGCAAAACCAGATCGTTATCCCGATCGTTTTCCAGATCGTCATCCAGATCGTTACCCAGATCGTTACCCAGATCGTTATCCAGATAATTATCCTGATCGTTATCCGGACCGATATCCTGACCGTTTTCCCGACCGATATCCTGACCGTTTTCCTGACCGATATCCTGATCGTTACCCAGATCGTTTTCCAGATCGTTTCCCGGATCGTTTTCCAACCCAAACCGAAAGATACCCAGATACAAAATACCCGATAGGTACACCAGGAATAAATGACCAATATCCAGGATCGGCTGATCGTTTTCCAATAAATGATCGCTATCCAATGGGAGATCGTTATCCTACGAGTGACCGATATCCTATTAACGATCGTTACCCAACAGGAGATCGTTATCCTACTAGTGATCGATATCCTATAAACGATCGTTACCCAATAAGTGATCGATATCCAATCAGTGATCGTTATCCCATTAACGATAGATACCCAGATCGGTATCCAATTAGAGGAGGAGATCGTCGACCTATAGGAAGCGACAGATATCCTGTTCCAGAACCAGTTATTCCAGAAAGATATCCAATTGGTGGAGGTAGATATCCTACTGCGCCAACTGGCAGGTATCCAGTCGCTCCAGGACGTTATCCAACGGATGGGGAACGATATCCAACTGCAATAGATCGTTATCCTGTTCCCGAAGATCCGTTGGATAGATATCCTTCTAGTGTGTCTAGACCTACTGGAGAAAGATATCCTCTAGGTGATAGATACCCTGATAAGGATTATCCTAATAGGTCAGTTGATAAATCATAAGATATTTTAATATGCACTATGTATATACATATATATTAATTATATTAATAAATAAAAATATATATAATTAAACACATACAAAAATAAATATTAATTATTAAACAAAAATATACCAAAATTATTTATATATTATTATAAAATAAAAATTTTGTTTTAAATATACATATATATATATATATACACATACACACCCACATATATTATTTTTTTATATTATTTTCTTTATAAATTATATTTAAGTAGATATCCAGGAAACGGACATGGTGTTTATGCGCATGGGTTCATCGATGACGTACGAGGTCCCCAAAGTCATCCAGCCGAGCGTCCACATTACGGACCAACACGACCAGGTGGATACAATGGATATGGTAGCGATTCTGGTGGTATAATCGGTGGTGGTTACATTGGAGAAGGTGGTGTTTACAATACTAGACCATTTGGTACAAGTGGAGGACCAATAATAGGACGACCACCCTTAATCTCAAGATGCGACGAACAGGATAATTTTCGACAAGTTGGACCGCATACAAGAGTACGAAAACCATTCGTTAGAAGATACACGACAGCTTCATCCTTAGCACAGTGCGAGAGGGAATGTGCAGATGCTAGAGATTTCGTATGCAGATCCTTCAATTATCGTCCTTACGCTGCACCTTACGGAGCCGAAAGAGATAACTGTGAATTAAGCGATCGTGATTCCAGAGACATGGATATGGGAAATCCAATTTACTATGATACCGGATCTGATTATGATTTTTATGAAAGAAATAATGGAAGACAAGGTGCCGATGGGGAATGTCTCGACGGTAAAATTTATTAATAAATAATTCTAATAATAATCATATACAATTAATTATAATAATTACCAACACGAAGAAAAATACAGAACAATGGATCACCGTTTGATATTTCGATATTTCACATTATCACAATCAACAAAACACTTTCAATGATGAGGAATCTTGCACACAATCGAATTGATATAATTCATTTATTGTATAATATGTTTTTAAATTCTATCTGATAATAAAGTTATTTCTACTTATCAACCAATTCGTACATATATGTGTGTGTGTCGATATATGAATTTTATTATTGTACGAAGAAGACGATGTTACACAATTGATTAATTTTTTTTTAGTGAGTCAAGTTTGTAGCGAAGACGGAATGGAATTTACTTTAAGAACACCGGAAGGATTCATCGGTAGAATTTACACGTATGGCTATTACGATCGATGTTTCTTCCGTGGAAACGGTGGAACAGTGAATGTACTTCGAATTAGTGGACCCCAAGGTTATCCAGAATGTGGTACCCAACGTGTAAGAACAATCATGCACAATATTTTTATCTTAAACTTAATTTTAAATGTTCACATCACAGAGATATATGAAAATGAATAAGAAAAAAAATGAAATGAATTGTTGTTTTTTTTAGTACGGTGATACGATGACGAATATCGTAGTGGTCCAGTTCTCGGATTATGTTCAAACAGGAAGAGATAAACGTTTCAATCTTACATGTCTGTTTCGAGGCCCTGGTGAAGCTGTCGTCACGTCCGGCTACATCGGTGCCGGGTATGCCAGGTCATATCGATCGAAAGATCGTGTATTGCACCGGAAAAAGCTAATGCATTATCTAATTCATGCGAACGATTAATGCAAACCATATTGTCTTTAATAGAATATTACATAAGAAAGTTAGCACGGTACAACACACGTTCCTGGAATCTCACAGATCATTATCTCAGTTAAAAATACCTTTGATATATAATAGTTTTCCTTAAGAATGAATAATGAAAAAAAAGAGAACAGATCTTAATTATGATCTAATAACATTTAAAAGGCAATTTAATTGGACCTTGATATATTACTATTAATTAATCATCGTTAATATGAATAGTTCACAGACCAAAACGATTAATTCTGTGACGCGTTTGAAATTATATTTTTTTTTCGTGAAATAATCGATGTTCAAAATTTATAATTTGAAATAAATTTCCTCGAATTAATTCTCGACATTAATATTATTAAATGATATTAATATTTGAAAGGTCATCGGAATAATAAATGTGATGATAACGTACGCAAGCACGAATTTATCCGAATTTTTATTATTTGCGGAATTAATCGATTTGATAAATGAGTGGGGTTGATATTATTAAATCGTTGGGACGGCAATAATCTTTTCATATATTTGAATAGGAAGTTTAATTTAGCTAATGGAAAGCTTTTATACGTTTCAACAGATCAGGTTCTCCTATCCCAATTGAATATCTCCCAGCAGAAAATACTTTGAGTTCTCGCGTGCGTCTGTTGATTCTATATCAAGGTAGACCAACGACTACTATAGCAGTTGGTGATCCTCTTACTTTTAGATTGGAAGCACAAGAAGGGTAAGTTTAATGAAAACATTTTCATTTATAATCGATTCTTCATACTATCGTTGTGCTACTTAATATATTCTAATTTTCATCAATTTTAATTGTAGATACAATTACGTAACTGACATATTCGCTACCAACGTCATAGCTAGGGATCCATATTCGGGAAGAAGTGTTCAACTTATTGACAGATACGGGTGAGTCTTCAAAAATAAATCATGTGAAAGAAGAAAAAGGTAATATTATTTTGTTGAATGACCTCGCTAATAATTATCCCCCCTCTCCCTCTAAAAAAAATAGTTGTCCAGTGGATAATTACGTTTTTCCTGGATTGGATCGTCTCCGAGATGGTGACAGTTTAGAAGCTCGTTTCAATGCATTTAAAATACCAGAATCGAATTTCTTGGTATTCGAGGCAACAGTTAGAACCTGTAGGGATGGATGTCAACCTGCATATTGTTCAGGTGGTAGTGGAAGAAGTGAACCATCTTTTGGAAGAAGACGAAGAGATTTAAGCAATGATACAGCCCTAATGGAAGATAATTTAGCTGAAACTGCAATTATTGAGAATGATAATAACGTTACTGTTACGTCAAATTCGACCTATGTTATGAGTACTCGATTAAATGATGATGAGGAAGAAGAAGAAAATGAGGAATCTGAGGAAGAACATGTCAGAGAAATGATCGAGGTAAGCAAATATTAATACACTGGGTAAGGGGTCCAATAATTGTGATAATAAAATTTGGATTAACATATTGTATAATTATTGGACCAATTTGTTTAATATTTCTAGGTATTAGATTCAAGAATGGATATAGAAGAAGAAGAAACTATGGTTGAAAAACAGAGTGCAGTACTTGAGACAGTTTGTATAGCACCAAATGAATATTATGGTCTAGTTACTGCAGTTGGTGTTCTGGTAGTATTATTGGCTTCTGTAGTGCTACTTTCAATGTTGGTTTACAGGTAAATCAACCAATCACAATAATTTTTATTACATTATTTAATTACCTATTATCTATTATTATTATTATTATATCATAACAATATAATTATGATAGGAAACATGCATATTCTGTGATCATGAAAAATCGAAAAGTTGACAAAGCCGGCAGTCGTAGCAACCATTCTGATGATGCAACTTACAGTAGTCGAGTTAACAACTTTTCGTTTATGAGAAGTGGATTACAAAAACCATTTCAATCCACGTAGGACATTCAAATAAATTTCTTGTTGAATATTACGTTAAATTTAAAAAAAGAAATTAATTTAGTTTGTTTCAATCGTTGTAATTTATAGATCTATATCAAGATCGATGAGCAATATCATTGGACAACGTATGAGTTCATCTTCGACGGCTCTCGAAGGTGCCGTTGGTTTGTCAACACCTAGAAGATCAGGATTTGATCCCAGCGAGCCAATTTATACCGATCCTTCCCTATTCGAAGTGAATCGTTGTTCACAGACTATGTCGAAACAAGCTTTAAATGATAATTTTCATCTTATGTAAAAAGAAAGAAAGAAAAAAAAGATTTCATCAATTCTCAAGAGAAAAAGACATTCGCGTCATTTACACGTTTTTAAGAATATGAATAATTTTTTGAAAACGTTAACAAACAAAATGTATTTAAACGATGATCAAACACAATTTACGTACGAATAAATGATACGTAATAAAATGTAAAATTTAAATATTTTTTGTGAACTGCTTACTAAAAATTTACTCTGCTAGTCAAGATCAAAACTGTTAATACCGATTAATCACTGCCAAATATTCATTACACAGAATCACTATAAAACAAATTTATTTAATGTACTTAATATATTTCATTAATTTTTCTCGATAATTATTAAGAAATATTTTTACACATACGCCTCTAGACATTTTTTATTAATTCAATTTATAGAAATCGATAAATTGTATATGTATTTTTAAGTATGTAATGTATTGTTCTCGACCCCCTTCCCAATTTCAAAATACTTTCTTTTCATTTCTATAATAATAATAATATTACATTATACGTTTTGATTCCAAAACCTATGAATAATCTTACGATTGTCCGCTAAATTCTACAATATAAAAAAAAAAGAATGATTTGTTTATTAAAAAAACATAAACGTATATTTATTAGATTTATACCATAATCGCATTGATAATTGTTATAATAAATTAATATTAAATACGATTTTATATATATATCAATCAATTAATATAGTCTATAAAACAACGTTGAAGTGAACTCTAAATAATTTTTAACCTAAATCCCATTTTTTTTTAATTTCTACCATAATAATAATATTACATTATAATATCATTTAAAAAAAAAAAAAGAAAATTGAACCCAAAACCTATAAATACTTTAACGAGATTATACAAAAAACAGAAATTCTAACTTTTTCATTAAACAAACATGAACACATGCAATGTGATACTTGCTATAAATACATATATTAATAATTATTAATGCAATCGCATTTATGACTATTAAACAGATAAATATTACATAGAATATAATCAACCGACAACTATATCATTTAATAAAAAAAAGGAAAAATAAGAAACGAAAGAACGAAATGTAGAAATAAGAAAGATCTCGAAAAGAAGTTTCTAATATTTTCTCAATCTTCCTTTATCCTCTCAAGCTTGTAAGTATAAAAAAGCACTCTGAGCCTAGCTTCTTCTTTTCGATAATGAGCCTCCTCCAGTTTGATTCTAGCTTCCTCTTTTAACATAGCTGCTACGTCAACCTTAATCTGAGCTTCTGATAATGCAAGAAGTTGCAATTCGTCTTCTTTTTGCAATGGTATTTTCGTTTTACGATTAACATGCGAATCGTTTACTCGTGAAGGAGAAGATAAAACAAAGTTTTCAGTTCTATCAGATTTATAAGCTAACTGATTAGGTTCAGTCGATTCTTCTTCGTCAGTTGATCTATGATCCATGATCGATAGATCATTTAATTCCTGACGATTGTCATTCGAGATTATTCCTTGCGATTGAATCATGCTAACCGTTTGTTTATTAACAATTGTATCTTGAATATCAGAAATATGTTTCAATGTATTATCTGCTACGAATATATAATAATTGGAAATTTCAAATAAAAATAACGAGAATATATATGAATAAAAATAAATATTTGATTTATACCGTTAGAATCGTTGCCACTATTGTCAGGTTCCTTTTTCAAGCACATATTCGTAGGTTTAGTCGCATTTACACTTTGCAAAGTAAAAGGTTCGGAATCTTTTGGTTCAAAGACTACATTGGGTGGTAAACAGCCATTTCCGTTAGTCGGTGTTAATTCCGGTTTATGTTTTTCGAAGATACTTCCGTTTTCCCAAGAGGAAATCGACGATTGGGTATAATCCTTTGATAATTGGCAAAAACTTTTCGAATTGTTTCTACGGATGTTTTAATTAAAAAATTTAATTTTAGGTTAGATGAGAGATTATTCGGATAACAAAAATTTATCTACATTCTTGTTGTGTTATTTTATAATTAATTAATTTTATAAGCGTTTAGAATATATTTTAATTACCGCGTTTTTTTCTCCTCGCGATTTCTTTTACAAGCTTTCATATTTTCCCAACAGCGTCTTAATTGTACAGCCGAACGCGCACTTTGTGGACCAACTATCGAATTATATTCCTCGACTAATGACGACCAAGCCGATTTTCTTTTACTCATCGATATTGGATCCGATTTTCTATCCTCGATATCTTCGTATTTGTTAATAAGACTTATTAAAATTTTTCGCTCCTCAAAACTATAGGTCTTTCTTGTGCCTTTTAACGATACGGGAGCCATTTTGTTGTAAGAAAAATTATCGAATCGATCACAACATATTCATTCCATTGTTTATAATTTGTATAAAGTGTAGACCGTAAATCATAACCAATATAATAACAAAATATAGTATTAGAAAAGAAAAAAGTTATAACGAATGAAAAAATTCGTATCGATACTACAGCACACTCTGAAAAACAAATATCGAAAACAAGCGAAATCGAGAGATGTATTTTAATTAAAATTTAAAAGAACGCTGTTTTTAAAAAGCAATAAAATAAATATCTAATGAAAGAAAAACTACGCGAAAAAAAACATTTATTTTACTAAGGATTCAACAAGACGCGTTATTAATAAAAACACATATAACAATTCAATATAAAAAGAAAAACATTATATGTAATTTTTTATATAACTTGTATCGATGTTACATGCAGCGCGCTCAGTGAGAAAAATATCGAAAACGTGCGAAAAATAATGATCAATAAAGAATCAATAATGTATGTGTGTGTGCGTAATTAAGAAAATAATATTGTTAATTAATCCTTCAAAAAATATTCTAAATAATTCTGACCGCAGATGGTATTGTACGTACAGTGGGAATTCGTTATTAAGAGTAAATGTAGATAATATAAATGATGATCATCGTCGACTTACCTCCACTTGATAAGAAAACAGCAAGTTTATACCAGTACTTGATCGTGTTGTCACTGTTGTTCTTCAAAAAAATACAGAAGTACATAGAAACTCACAAGATCCCTTTTTTATCTACCCAGTTTCATTTTAGTCACTATCGAGACCACCAGTGGACGATAGTGGGTACTTAACGCGATGATGGCATAATAATAAGAAAAAATACAATATTCTTTAATATTATATATAGTATAGTTATATTGTAAGAAAATTTAAAATATTTATATCTAATTTTTAGTGTCTAAATATACGTGTGTGCCTCCAGAAATGCGTTTTTTATACATATATATATTTGAAAAAGTAGAAGAAAATAAAAACGAGTAGATGATAAGTCCAACGATGATCACCTGTAACAAGAAGAAAACTATATTAATCATACAATCAAGAGTGATAGAATAACCTGATATATAAATCGTCCAATTTGTAGATGCACTTTTCAATTGAATTCTATATTTATTTTGATCAAATCTCTATTTCACGTTGCAATGAAATTAAATTTAAACGCGTGATTTTACGTTTACATAAAATATATAAAAATAAAGAAATAGGTAAAGTACAAATATTAAGTTACTACAAAAAATATATCTATTAATTATAATGAAATACTTGTAAGCTGAAATATATAGGAAAGAAAAATTGCAAATTTAAAAAAATACGATCACAAAGAAAAATTTTAAAGACGAAACAAGAAAAGAGAAATAACTGTAATATTTACCGAACGTTATTAAAGCTTCCAAATTTAATATTACGAAAATATTAATATTTTTAATCTAACTAAAACATATGCATCATTTTGACGATTAAGACACGAATTTGGTGTCTCAAGGAGATGAAATGATCCATTATCTCCGATTAAAACTACAATTAAATGACGAGCAAAAAAGTAATATAATAAAATATAAAATATGACTAGAGAGCTATTTTCGAAGAGTTCGAACTTGCTGTTGAACCTTTATTAAAAATAACTCAATAGTCTATGTAGTTGCCCACTTGATACCACAAATTTGTGGGGGCCTCTTCGGTCTTAGCCTCTTCGGCATAATGCCTCTTCTTTCTTCATGCCCTAAACTCTGCTGTGAAGCTTTTTTTTACATTTACTCAAATGCCTCAACAGATATTTGATCTAATCGATGAACCTATTATTAACACTTTGCATTTAAAAAATTAAATAATATCAAATAAAAGCAGAAACTTTGTAATACATCTTATGATCTTACTTTTTTACTAGAGCACTTTTATCTTTATTCTACTTTGT